TGCTATTTGTCCTAAATGCATTTAGACTAACAGTTAGAACACTTAGGATTGCATTTTCATCATGACGCCGTGGATATTTGTAGCAAAATTCAGTGCGGCTTTGAAAATGCATTCCGAGCTGACCATGCCCACCCTCCGTCAATCATTGCTTCACGGCGGGGATTGGCGGAAATGTGTTACGTTTGGATCGTTCAAAACATGGCGGCTCGAGATCTGATAAGATCGTCGAATTCACTGGCAGATGAAAGTGGAGCGCGAACAGAGAAATATATGAAGCATACTCCTAAATCTATACTCTATACTGCTAAAATCAAACGTTCGAACGACCGACCGACCCCAGGGGGGCGCCAGCACCTGTCAAGGGGGGCGCAAGCATCAGTTAATCAAATGTGCATGCAATTTACATATTAAGACTACTGTTGGAAATGGCAAATGTAAATTATATAATTTAATTTTAATTTTCCTTTTGCAACAAATTTTGCACGTGTGGGTAATGGAAAATGTAATTTAAATACAGAAATACATTGCCATTTTGAATATTGCGTCGTCATTTTGAATATTGCATTGCCATTTTGCATATTGCATTTGAATTTTGCTACCTATATGCTTCCATACGTAAGACATGGGAAATACAGTTGCAAATGGACTTTGCTTTTCCATTTGAAATTTGGCAGTCACTGTGCGTTTGCTAAAGTGCAAATGCAAACAGTAATGCAAGATTTGCAATTGCGTTTGGATTATGTCACTATTTATACGTCCACATATGGAAAATGCAATTGAAAATACCATTTGCAATTCCTTTTGGAAATAGTCCGGAATATCCTTCCATAGTAAAGCTTACTTTTAACAATTTCAAATTATTAAACTTTAAGTGAGTGCAAAGTTAAACTAAACGTAAAAGTAGCAGGAAAATTACATTAAAATTAAATATACAATATTCAACCAAAAAAAAAACAAAAAAAAACACACAAACAGCGGCTGATAACTGATATGGAAGCAATATTGTGCCTTCCTTTTTAAGATTTTGTATTTGTGTAAATACACAGCATGATCCATAATTATTCTGCTCAGGAGAAATCCATATGCCAGATGTATATCGGTTCTGGAGAACTTACAGTGTTATCCATAGGGTCGATGCTTTCCTCACCGCCAGTGGCGAGCGTGCTGAGAGAGGTTGTGTCATCACTCTCCACCATCTCAAGTACAGCATCACTTTTCCTCTTTCCCTTCTTCTTCTTCTCCGGAGGCATGGCACCCTGCTCTCTGCATAACACAGCGGCAAAACACTCTTAAAATTCATCTTACCTCCACAGCTTTGCACAGGTTGACAGATCTTGGCGCAAACCAACCAAGGACTTGTTTGACTGACAAATATCAGGCCATATGATCGTACAAAGCCGACATCTGCTGTGCAGACGTTTACTGGTTTATAAGCGGACAAGTAGCACAACAGTTTTGCTGGAGTGCAGAACTTTTGAATAAAATTGCATTTCGATGCTTTACTTTGGGAAAAACAAGTGGTGAGAGGGAACCACAAAGTGGATAAAATTTGTTTAAAAAGGGAATGTATCCAATCACAAAAGATGATTGGCAGAAACTCTGTTCATAAGGCCATTTTTAAGTGCCATCATTGTGGCAATGGATTAATGCAACCCTGGAGAAAATTACATATTTGAGTACCTTATGAATGAATGTATAAAATGTATCTTTACTTCTCCAAATATGATAGTAAAATAGCTAAAAGGTCAAACAGCCCTACACATGGCTGCAGGTTTCATTTTTGACCTTGGTTTCAAATTGGAAATCCATAAGTACCTACATTCACCTTGTAACGCCCACAATCCCTGTATCACATTTCACCCAATCAAGATATGAAAAGGTCTGTGACTGAGCTGAGCAAGAACAGTGCTGAGACAATACATGCAAAATTGTCACATGCAAAGGATGCAATTTACTGAAATGAGACTGTTTTGTCAGTTGACATTTGTTAGTCAGTGATTAAAATGATTTTTGCTCTCTTTAAGACATCGCTTAGTAAACTAGGTTCCAAGTGTGCTAAATATACCTGTCATTATGGTCTTGCCATAAAGCACACATACAGCAGCACTACACTATTAGACCAAAAATACCGAGTGAATATTTTTTTAAAGAAATTATTCAGCAAGGACACATTAAATTGATCAAAACTGACACTGAATTATATTTTTTAAAGTTCATATTCATCAAAGAAAGCATTGTTCCCAAAAATATTAAGTAACTGTTTTCAACATTGATAATAATAAGAAATGTTTCTTGAGCAGCCAATCAGTATATTAGAATGATTTCTGAAGGATCATGTGACACTGAAGACTGGAGAAATGATGAAAATTCAGCTTTGCATCACAGGAATAAATTACATTTTAAGTTATTTTAAATTGTAATAATATTTCACAAGATTACCGTTTTTCTGTATTTTTGATCAAATAAGTGCAGCCTTGGTAAGCATAACAGACATCTTTCAAAAACACTAGCGGTAGTGTTTGAACATTTAAAGGAAAATTCTGTAATTTTCTACCAACTCACTTTGGCTTCCTCCCTCTTTTGGAGGGCGGATGTGTTGCAGTGTTCTTGGCCTGTGTTTTCACTTTCACATCTTGACTTTTCTTGACTTTTTTTACTTCTTTTTGGGCTTTTGGCTCCCTCTTCTTATAATCCTTTTGTTCCTTCGCTGCCTTTGACTTTCTCGGAAGAAGCTCCTTCGCTTCCTTTTGCTCCCTTCTCTTTGGTTTAGCGTTGCTCTCTTCATCTCTGTGCCACTCTGACTCCTTTTTGTCTTTTTTCCTTCGTTTCTTCTTCATCCTGGCCCCGCCCCCTCCATCATCCTCCTCGCTGTTGATTGATAAAGGGCAGAGACTGTGACTGCTGGCCGCAGACCCTGCCTCCCGTAACCCAGAGTGCTTTGGGTGAGCCATGCAGTGATTGGGCGGCCCTCCGATGATCCGTAATTGTTCTTTGCCCAAGTGGCCGATGGGAAATGTAGTTTGTGCGTTTTGGTCAGAGGCATTCGAGGCAGCAGCGGATGGAGTGTGCTTTAGTACATGGGAGGCAGACATCTGGAAAAACAAAAGAGTTTGATTAAAATTTGTTCCTCTAATTAAACACAATTCCTCTTGTTTAAAACAGACAGATCTCAGATCTGACTAGTTAAGACATCATTCAACTAGTTAATTCATCATTCAATTCAAAGTTAAACTAACCCAAACTACTGGAACTTTATAAAACAGACATTTACATTCTAAACGGTGTAGAGTAACTAATCTAGCTCAGATTTGACCAGTTATATCCATCATGAGTTTCCAGTTTGCTGGTTATCAAAAGAAATTATGTTTTGGGCACTTTCATGCTGGCTTTGGCTGGATTAAACTGTCATAGTATTATTATTATTATTATTATTGTGTTACAATTTACAAATATTATTTAGACACACACACACACACACACACATACACACACATATACTAATATATATATATATATATATATATATAAACACACACACACACACACACACACTATATATTATA